AAAAACAATTCTCCTCCTTCTTCTCTCCTCTGAATGTATTTATTCATTTTATGCTATGAAAAGGCAACATGCGGAAAATTACGCGACAAAAAGAAAGTGCAACACACAGAAGAGACAGAATGTACTATTAAAGGAGACTAGATTGAAGGRAAAAAAAGGAAAGGAAAGCAAGCGGCAACCAGCAAAAATGCAGAAACAGAAGCAGCTCGGAGTGTCTGTTGGTGTCACTTGCGGTGCGAGGGGAGATCGTAAAGTAGTCTCAACAATATATCCATCAAATGTCGTTACGCTCCCTGATTTCATTTATTAGAGCAGAAAGTGCTGCACATACAACTGGGTAATGCCAACGGGACGCCGACACCCCTGTCCGCCCATCAGATGCGCGTACTATTCGGCGTATACGCGATTTCATACGACTTCCGCTTTTTGTGCTGGCCGACGATTTCCCATGAGCCAAGCCAACGTTGACATTAAATTTAGGAGCAATGTCTGTCAAAAAGGAAAGAAAAAAGAAAAACAAAGAGAAATAGAAATAGAGAAAACAAATTGGAAAGGTCCAAACAAGGACAAAGCGCAACACTGTGACCGACAGACCGACCGACCGACAGACTGACAGACTGACCGACCGACAGATCGGCAGAGCTGCCACTAGCTTTAATTTCTGCTGCAGGCAGCCTGGCTTCAGCTGACTTCAGAGGAGGTCGGGCTGGGTGGCCAATGAAGCAAATTGCAGGCGTTGATGCTGTGCCATAATGTGGCGGCAGCCTTTGATGTGGGTCATTCCCCTTAKCGGCATTTACGAACATGTCTAAGCCCGKCGTCTCTGGCAGCAGGAAGTGCTTAAAAGCGTGAAAACTAATTAAGGCGAAGAATTTACGAAGCGAGGGAGAGTGCTTTCGTGGGAAGAGACTTTGATCAGGTTTGCAGTGGAAATCGCAATATGGTTAAAAAATTAAATCATATAAATTCCTTAAATTGCAAGCAAGTATATAAGGAAACATATTTTATGCAAGACAAGAATAATGCAAGAATAAAAAGAAATAGTTAAGCAAATGCATGTTAAATGGCCGCCTCAAACAATTTCGTTTGAGTCAACTGCTTAAGCTTCGCTTCTCTCCATGTGTATGCAAATAGATCCAACCCATTCATGCAATATATGGAAAATGCAAAAAATGCCTTGGGTAACGCCCATGCGCCTTCCTCATATATCATTTTTCAATTTCCGCTTTCATGCGAGTAAAAAAGTCGAGAGGCAAATGGTTCAAGCGTTGGGCAGAAGATTTAATACACTTTCGAGACCTTAATGTTGTATATATAGTAAATAATTAATAAAATAAAAGTAGCTTTAAGTTCCATAGTAAAATGTGTGTCAGTTAAATATTAAGAATATTAATAAAACAAAATTATTTTCCATCGAAATTTCCTGTTTCCCATTAGTCCCTCTCTCTCTCTCTCTCACTCTCAACAACAGATAGGATCTGATTAGCTACATGTGTTAACATAAGCCGTATATACTTTATGTTCATCCAACAAGCTACTATGAGTGTATAACAAATTTCGAGGAAAGATAATATTAGCTGCTGCTAGGGCAAAGAATATGAAAGGAATTATTTATGGCATGTGGAATTCAGACCTATATTAAATGCTGATCACATCGAGGGCCATAAAAGTGCAATTGCCGGGGCGGGTAGAGTTGGTGCCTCGCCTCGGCATCGGCATTCAATTAGGAAGCTAATTGGTCGCTCCATAGACGAATTACCAAATACAACAGCCGATGGGCATGCCGGAGGAAACAACCGATTTCCGAAAGACTGAAGACTGAATCAAATCAAGCANCAGGCGTTGATGCTGTGCCATAATGTGGCGGCAGCCTTTGATGTGGGTCATTCCCCTTAGCGGCATTTACGAACATGTCTAAGCCCGTCGTCTCTGGCAGCAGGAAGTGCTTAAAAGCGTGAAAACTAATTAAGGCGAAGAATTTACGAAGCGAGGGAGAGTGCTTTCGTGGGAAGAGACTTTGATCAGGTTTGCAGTGGAAATCGCAATATGGTTAAAAAATTAAATCATATAAATTCCTTAAATTGCAAGCAAGTATATAAGGAAACATATTTTATGCAAGACAAGAATAATGCAAGAATAAAAAGAAATAGTTAAGCAAATGCATGTTAAATGGCCGCCTCAAACAATTTCGTTTGAGTCAACTGCTTAAGCTTCGCTTCTCTCCATGTGTATGCAAATAGATCCAACCCATTCATGCAATATATGGAAAATGCAAAAAATGCCTTGGGTAACGCCCATGCGCCTTCCTCATATATCATTTTTCAATTTCCGCTTTCATGCGAGTAAAAAAGTCGAGAGGCAAATGGTTCAAGCGTTGGGCAGAAGATTTAATACACTTTCGAGACCTTAATGTTGTATATATAGTAAATAATTAATAAAATAAAAGTAGCTTTAAGTTCCATAGTAAAATGTGTGTCAGTTAAATATTAAGAATATTAATAAAACAAAATTATTTTCCATCGAAATTTCCTGTTTCCCATTAGTCCCTCTCTCTCTCTCTCTCACTCTCAACAACAGATAGGATCTGATTAGCTACATGTGTTAACATAAGCCGTATATACTTTATGTTCATCCAACAAGCTACTATGAGTGTATAACAAATTTCGAGGAAAGATAATATTAGCTGCTGCTAGGGCAAAGAATATGAAAGGAATTATTTATGGCATGTGGAATTCAGACCTATATTAAATGCTGATCACATCGAGGGCCATAAAAGTGCAATTGCCGGGGCGGGTAGAGTTGGTGCCTCGCCTCGGCATCGGCATTCAATTAGGAAGCTAATTGGTCGCTCCATAGACGAATTACCAAATACAACAGCCGATGGGCATGCCGGAGGAAACAACCGATTTCCGAAAGACTGAAGACTGAATCAAATCAAGCAGCAAAACTTTTCTAACTAGCTACAGTTTGTTCGTGTGCTCAAGAGTGTGTGTGAATTAGCCTTTGTATGTGTGTGTGTGTGTGTGTGTAGCATATTTCGCATGAAATCTCCATGTGCAGGAGCAGGAACTAGCGCTGTATCCACTCATGTGCATGCCTAATGAAGCCATCCAGAGCCCAAGAATTGATGAGCCAGCAGTTGGCTATGAAGATGTTGGCCAAGTTTTATAAAGGCGGCAAACTTTGACGGCCAAGCTGAGGGCGTTCAGCCAGTCCATTGCGTTAGACCGTGTGCTGGCACAACATCCTGAGCTGGCCTAATATGTTGCTCTGTATGCCTGGTCATGTACGACACAGAAATCAATTAACTTAATTTCCGCACGTTGTGACAAAGTGGCGGGGAGATTAGCTGCCAGTAGCACGAGGGGGGCGGCGCCGAAAGACAGTCAATAAAACTTTTCAACAACAACAACAACAACAGGATGTGCATAATTCTGCCATTGTGCGCACACAAAAAACTTTTTGCCCAAACAAGCCAGGAATTGACAATGCACAGCTCAACCTGAATCGGACCGTGAGTAGGACGAGCAGGGCGAGCAGAGCGGGGGTGGAATCTACGATTCGCTGTCAAAGTCAAAAGTCGAATTTACTTGGCGACACTTTTCCCTCAAATTTGAATCAATTTAACTCGAGAATTGTTGTCCTTGCAGATTGGTTTGCTGCGCGGTGGCAAAATGCTTGCCGAGGAGTCGCCCGACTACCTGCGCCAACAGTACAACGCCGACTCGCTGGAGGATGTGTTCCTCAAGCTCTCCGTCATGCAGAACATGGGCAAGCGGCGGCGCTCGTCCATTGCCCAGGAGATTGTGGAGCAGGTGACGGTGCCGGCCATTTCGAATCCGGCGCTGGACATGTCCGATGAGCAGCATGCCGCGGAGATCTCAGGCGAGTTCGGCGATAATATATCCATGTCATCGGCGGCACGAGATCCCATTAGTAGCACAGCGCCCGCTGCACCGCCGCTGCCGCCAGTGGAGGAGATGAAAACGTCGTTCTGGTACAATTTGCATGTGATGCAGTCGCATCATCTGCATGCGCTCATCTGGAAAAACTTTTTGTGGATGATGCGCAACGTAGGGTAAGTAATTKGCCAGCAAATCAACTWGACCATCTACTGACTAACTAACTGATTCGCCTCCAGAATAATGCTGTTCATAGTGGGTCTGCCGGTGGTGCAGATATTGCTATTCTGCTATGCGATTGGCCATGATCCCACT